TTCTTTTGATTACAGTATACAGACATCAGCTGGCTTCATTTGTAAATCCCTTGTGTCATCCTTTTCCATGTCACTCTTATATTCTGGCATTTTAAAATCCATTTTTAGATCCGCAGCATCTTTTTCCATGTCACTTTTGCAATCTGGCATGTTTTTAAAAGTCTAAATCCACATACAAATCAGCTTAGTCTCTGCTTATCTAATAAAATCTTCTATATCCTCTGTTGTATGTATGTATGTATGTATGTATGTACGTATGTATCAGACAATCATGTAAATAGTTTCTGAGTACATTGTTCCCAAACATCTTTGATTTCTTCTACAATCAAGTAATATTGCTTCGTTGAATTAATGGGTTACTTTTCCTTCAATTATACTTAATTCTCTCTGGTTCCTTCTAGTCAATCTTCAGAGTCCCCTCTTATAATCCGTTTATTTTCCAACCAGGAAAAGAAATACAGGAGTATTTCTTACAGTTAATTTCAAAAGACTTCATACAGTTTTTTTTAAAAAAATTAAATACCCTTAAGAAAATATTCATTCAAATCCACCTAGTCCCTTAACTTTCCACATTCTAGTCCTCCTTTTCTGTTTTACAAAAATTAAAGCTGCTCTTTTTAATCTTACAGACTTGCCAAGAGCTTCGTTTATCCTGAGTAAAAGGAGATTCCCCCAACACAATAAAACTTGTCCTTCGGAACATAGAATAAATAGGATTGGAAACCTTGGAGGTCTTCTGGTCCAGCCCCCTGCCCCATGGCAGGAGATCCTATACTGGGCATGGCTAGTCCAGTGAAGAGAAGGACCAGGGAGACATGATAGCGGTCTTCCAATGTATGAGGGGATGCCACAGAGGGGAAGGAATCAAGCTGTTTTCTAAAGCGCCTGTAGGCCAGACAAGGAATAATGGATGGAAACTGAACAAGGAGAGATTCAACCTGGAAATAAGGAGAAATTTTCTGATAGTGAGAACAATCAACCAATGGAACAGAAGTTGCCCTTGGAAGTTGTGGGAGCGCCATCACTTGAGACCTTCAAGAAGAGATTGGACTGCCATTTGTCAGAAATGGTACAGGGTCTCCCGCTTGAGTGGAGGGTTGGACTAGATGACCTATAAGGTCTCTTCGAACTCTGATTATCTGTTATCTGTTATCTATACCATTCTGGACAAATGGCTGACCAGTTTGTTCTTGAAAACCTCCAGCAATGGAGCTCCCACAACTTCTGGAGGCAAGGTGTTCACTGATAAATAGTTGTCACCGTCAGGTGATTTCTTAGTTCTAGATTAGATCTCTCTTTGATAAGCTTCCACCCATTACTTTTTGTCCTGGCCTCAGGTGTTTGGAGAGTAAGTTGACCACCCCTTTCTCTGTGACAATCTCTCCAATCCTTCTCCTTGTTAGACAAAACATATCTAGTTCCCTCAATTGTTCATCATATAGTTTATCATATGGAAAGTTCTTAACCTAGTAAATCAGTAACAAACAATGTCCTAAATTAGTTAAGGAAGGAAGTAGGTGAATCCAGTATCTGAAGGTGCTGAACTGTGGCCTAGGCAAGATGTTTCCCTCCCCTGCTCCCAGAACCAGAGATAGCTATTTTACAATCACTCTGCAAGGAAATTCTGCATGGAGCAAAATTTTGGCTGATCTCTTTGATTTGGAGAGTAGTTCTAAGGTGGTTATAAGATGAAATGCTTTAGTAATTTGGCATACCCGATGGCCTACTGAATTGCACGTAAAGTCAGTTATATACGTAATTTATAGACATAATCAAGCTTGGAAGCAAATATTCATATATCTTCCCCACAAAAAATATATAGAATCCATTAAGTGTAGCAGGCAATTAACAGGATGTGATGTGAATCACAGTATAATTACTGCCTTGCACGATTCGTTCCAGTTTTCCATTTACCTTTCTGTAGAATCATGAAAGTGTCCTGTGTTTTGTATAATGCATATTATAGCAGCCTGTCATTGACTGTACAAGATTTGTCATGGTTTTGGTTTTTTTTAGATCTGTTTAATATAGGCATCATCCAACTCCCAATTCACTCTGGATGGCTTAGTTTGGCCCAAGAGATGTCCCAGATTCAAACTCCTGAATTGTTTTCTTCTCATTTTTACTACAGCATTGGACTTGTTAGATAGGTGTATCACAGTGGAATAGATGTAATTACTGTACTTAAAAGCTGCCATCCATTTGTTGTTCAGTCAGTATCATTGCATGCTTTTCAGTTGTTTGGAGGAAGCACATACATAATTTAAAATTCTGGTCTGTTGGGATTTGCTTCCCTGTTTGTTCAAAGTGAACTAAGTGTTCACTAACTGTATAATTACTGTTGAAAAAAGCGCACGTAAGTTTAACTACTACTTTCCTTTTTTTTCCCCCTGTAGGAATCTTGGTATCCAGCGTTGTCCTGATTCTGTCACAACGATCGCTTTTCAAGTTTTATATGATCAGCTGTGCTTTCCTGCTAGCTGCAACATCAGTGTTGGTGAACTATTACGCTTTTTTGCACATAAACTTCCACAGTGCCTATTACACAACACCTTTTGGAGTTCAGCTCCTTCCTCATAAAGGACCTTCCTTATGGATGGCACTCTCTGTCCTTCAGCTTGCCTTTGGGATTGGTTATGTGGCTCTCTTAAATATCGACTCCATATATTCTCAGCTCATCATCTTGGATTTATTGCTTCCCATTGTGGGCTTGATCTTCGACTTACCTTTACACTTCAGGCAGATTTTAGTCTTAGCATCAGGTTCCATTTTGACGTTACACAGCTTGGTTATTTTATTTACTAAAATGAAATGGGTCTACTACTCCGCAAGGTACGTCTACCTTCTCATAAGGCACATGTATCGCATTTACGGATTACAGTTGTTGCTAGAAGACACGTGGAAGAGGATTCGCTTTCCAGACGTGCTGCGGATTTTTTGGCTATCGAGACTGGCAATTCAAGCTGCCGTGCTGCTGTATGTTATTAAAGCAACCGAAACGGACCCAAGCATGAAATTCTACGCGATTTCTTGGGACAATTTCTGGGAATTACTTTGCAGCCTTATCATCAGTGGATGCGATTCCACGTTAACCGTATTAGGCATGAGTGCTGTAATTTCATCCGTGGCTCATTATCTGGGGCTGGGTATTTTGGCCTTTATTGGGTCCACAGATGAAGACGATAGGAGGCTCGGTTTTGTGGCACCGGTCTTGTTTTTTATTTTAGCCCTCCAGACTGGCTTAAGTGGGCTAAAGCCAGAGGAGAGACTGGTCCGCTTAAGTCGAAACATGTGCCTTTTGCTGACAGCAGTCCTGCATTTTATCCACGGGATGACTGACCCTGTGCTCATGTCTCTGAGTGCCTCCCACGTCTCCTCGCTTCGCCGACACTTCCCTGTGCTTTTTGTCTCCGCTTGCCTCTTCCTCCTTCCAATTTTGCTTAGCTACGTCCTCTGGCATCACTATGCACTAAATACGTGGCTGTTTGCCGTGACAGCCTTCTGTGTGGAACTCTGCCTCAAGGTCATTGTCTCTATCACTGTGTATGTACTGTTCATGATCGATGGCTACTATAATGTTTTATGGGAAAAGCTGGACGATTATGTCTACTACGTTAGATCATCAGGCAATATCATTGAATTTATATTTGGAGTAATAATGTTCGGCAATGGTGCTTACACCATGGTCTTTGAATCAGGAAGCAAAATCCGGGCTTGCATGATGTGCCTGCATGCCTATTTCAACATTTACCTGCAAGCAAAGAACGGCTGGAAAACATTCATAAATCGTAGAACGGCTGTGAAGAAAATCAACTCACTTCCTGAGGTCAAAGGGGAGCGATTGCGGGACATAGACGACGTGTGCGCCATCTGCTATCATGAGTTTACCACGTCCGCCCGCATTACTCCGTGTAACCATTACTTCCATGCGCTTTGCCTTCGGAAATGGCTCTACATCCAGGAGACGTGTCCAATGTGCCATCAAAAAGTTGACATTGATGAGAAGGAGAACCCCAATCTCTCCAATAACAACGCCTTCGTGGTCCCCGATGAAAATGACCCTGATGAAAATCCCGCCTGGGGAGGAGGAGAAGGAGCAGCTGCTGCTGAAGACGAACTCAACGACGAGAATACGGAGAGCGAAGAAGAGACAGAGAGTTCGACTCAGTCAAATGCCACAGTACCCGAACAGCCCTCTGAACACCAGTCGTGACCCTGTGCTCGAGTTAAAATGGCGGATACCCGAACCCTGCGGGTGTTTGTGGAGTTCAGCATTGGAATAAAAGCTTCACTTCGTCAACTAAGCACAAGAACGCAATGTCCCAAAATCTGTGAATGAGTTGTCATTTTACTGTGATGTGCTACTGTAAATATGGCTGGTATTAATGCTGGTCTCTTTTGTGACCACTTTAAAACTTTATGTACATTATTGTACATGGAATAAAATGTTTTCACCTATTTTTTTAAGAAGTCGAACAAAACACTCCTTAATTAACATAAAATTACGGTGTGTACATTATATCCAAAGCCTCTCACGTTTTGATAGTTTAAAAGCCAGGGGCTTTTAAGATAAGAATTGAATGCCATATAAAGAGGGATGTTTAAATCCCTCTTCATTTCAATCCTGGACAAAAGTTAAAAATGTTCTGTTAACAACACATCATCATTTCTAGGCTTGACAGCTAAAAATGAAAGCTTAGGTTTCCTTAAAAGATACCATTCCTTCTAGTATTTATAGAAGAAAACGTAACATTGGGAAATAAAAGAAATACATTTATTTATGGAACTCTGTTATAATTTTTTTGAGCAGAAGTCTGGTTATTGTGCGGTTGCACAATTACCTGATTATCTGATTACCGGGAAGGAAAAACATTTCTAAAATGTCAGAAAATTCACAATAAAGGCGAGGATTTCCACACACATATTTTTAACTATGCCATCCTGTATGGCAAACATACTTTTAAATAATGATTTCAGAATTAGGGAGTAGACTTAGATTGTTTTATTTTATGAACAGAATTAACTGGATTTACATATCTGGAAAGAAAGTTTTAATAGTGTTGTTATACAAAATATTGGCCAGTTCTAATGGCTCCTCTTCACGAACTGTTGCTAGTATTTCCAGTATCTGGCTACAAGGAAACAAACAGAAATGTTACAGAAAAAAGAATAATTTATAGGAGTTCATGATAACTTTTGATAAAATTGCATGAAAGATATGTAAGCCATATTTGTGATTTTTAAAGAAAAGCAGTTTTGGAGTTGCATTCACTAAATGCCACACTAAATGATGATCTAACGAAACAGCAACGAATCTACCCTAATTTGTATTCTTGGTCTTCTCCTTATGATTGGGAAAGGGCTGGAAGTTTGGTTATGACTGACCAGTTTTTATCATGGAAGCCTGGAATGGTGGGTAATAGTGGTTAATTTAAAAGCATGTTTTATCAAGCCGTTTGAAGCAATTAAGGTTAGCCCGAATTTGTGGGATTGATACAATAGCAGATTAATACTTCTCAGTGCCATCTTGTTCGCTGCTGTTAAACTGCAAAAATAGATGGTATCTAGATATCAACAAAATAAATCTCATGTTGCACTGAAGAGATGGAAGTTCAGAAATATGTTTTATAAAGTATTATATTCTTTTGCTGCGACCTAGATAGACTTAGATGCCATCATGTCACATTTAAAGCTTTGTAATTTGAGCCTGTCATGCCTAACTCATTAGATCAGCTTCAAGGGGACTTAATCATGACTAATCTCTGCTGGACTGAATCTCTGACAGGAACAACAAACAGTACTTACATTATATGGCAAAGTTCATTTCTGTCCTTTAGGCAGTGTCCCACTTCCCATTTCTTTTTGGTTGGAAATGTGGTTTTTACAAATTTTGAGCCTGCGTGGGTGTTTTTCACTCCACACCAGGGAGCATCTAATCGGAGAATAATTTAAAAAAACAAACTAGTAGTTTTATAACTAATTTCAGAAACATGAACACTTGTGTCTTACATTCCCTGCTTGTCTCATTTCCTCCATATACATAACAGTATATACTTTCACATGGCACTTTGTAAATAAATCAAAAATTCTCATTTTGATTTTTTAAAAATTGTTACAGGTGGTAAATACAGGTAGTCCTGGATTTACGACCACAATTGAGCCTAATATTTCTGTTGATAAGCAAGACATTTGTTAAGTGAGTTTTGCTCCATTTTACAACTTTTCCTGTTAATTGAAACACTGCAGTTGTTACTAACACGGTTAAGTGGGCGTGGCCACTTTGCTTGTCAGGTCACAAAAGGTGATCATGTAACCCCAGGACACTGCATCCATTTGAATGGTTCATTAAATGAATTGTTAGTTGTAAGTTGAGGATTACCTGTATACAAGTGGCTTTTACTAGTAGCTGCAAGGACAGACTGAATATAAAACAGCAACATCAATACAATTATTCCAAAGACACTGCACTCCTCCACTTAATGAACCATTTGGGGGATGGGGAAGGATATAAATTCTCAACTTGGTGACATCCGAATGAAAATGTGCTATTTTATCTGAAGCTCATTAAACTTAAGCTTTTGCTATATCTGATTTTGGTAACTGATACTGAAGAGATTGGTTGAAATATTTCGTTAACAAGCTTCCACTGAAACTTGTCTTACTACCCAGCCCTTTTGGAACAGTCTTTAGAATTTGCTGTCAGTACAACAAAAAGTAAATAATAAGGCACTCTATTTGGTTAAGCTTGCTCCATCAACATATTCATTTAAAATGTATTACATAAATAGTCTCTGAGATTATCGAGCACAAAGTTTGATGTATTTTTCTGCTCTTACCCAGCTTACAGTCATATGTAAGAAGGGCTGCGCATTGCAAGTTGATTGATGGAAAGAATTACATCCCACCAGATCATTATGAAGCCAATAAACCTTTTGTTTCATCTACTTTGAGGAAAGAATGAGTGGCATATAAGGGTGACCACGTCTTATGCTCTTCCTCAAAAGCAGCCTTCATAGATTGCTGTCAAAACAAGAATGGTGATGTCATGGGGCAAACTCTGCCCTCACATATTTACATCACAAAACGGATACAAGAACTTATTCTTGCAGGATGAGACAGGTTTTGCCACCAAGATGGTACTTTCCAGAAACCTTGGCAATGCAATCCTCAACTTCAGCCTTATTTAGGATTATGAAAGTTATGGGCCTAATACCCCCAAAGGGTATCAGCCTGGATTTTGCTGATAATAGAGAGAAAGGTATAATCCAATATTTGACAAGGATCTGGCAAAATGCAGGCTTGGGAGCACAACAGTTAGGAGTTCCTTCTCTGCATCATGCTATTTTTGAGGCTGGTTCAACAGTTTTCTGGAAGTGTTGTCTGGGGCACATCTTTATTCACCAGACTTACTTCCAGAAACCCACTGAACTGTCCCCAGAATGGCATGATCAGAACAGGAATGGAAAATTCCAGGTTTCTTTGGAATATTTTATTCCTGAATCTATGTTTTGTACATGGCTAAATATGACCAAAGGACTGACATTTTTAAAGGGCATTTTCCCTTTTTTATAAAAGAATTAGCTCTCTGGATAATCATGGTAAGCTAACCCAAAGGTGCTTTTCCAAAAGGCAACTGGACTTTTTGGTGTTGTTTTTTTTAAAGTTTTGCTTCTTATCCAAGAAGCTTCTCCCATTCTTACCCAAGAAGCTTCTTGGATGAGAGGTGAAATGTTTTCAAAGTAAAAACCCAAGAGAGTCCAGTTGCCTTTTGGAAAAATATCCTTGGGACCAGTGGTGAGATTCAAAAATTTTTTACTACTGGTTCTGTGGGCGTGGCTTGGTGGGTGTCTCAAGGGAAGGACACTGTAAAATCTCCAATCAGAGGTGGTATTTGCCGGTTCTCCGAACTATTCAAAATTTCTGCTACCGGTTCTCTAGAACTGGTCAGAACCTGCCGAATACCACCTCTGCTTAGGACAACCATGACCTGGATGATTAAGCATCTCTATATACATACTAAAGCTAACCTTGCAACTGGCCTGTGATTTGGATGCACACTCTCAAGATTACAACCCAAATATATCTCAGATCTAAAAGTTTTTAAAATGACAAATTAATGAAAGCAAAGTGGCTTACCTGTTTCTATCATTAACCTTTCACTGGGAATTGACTTCACCGTTTCTAGGTTGGCTTCAGTTTTCAGAGAACTGGAAATAATTGTAGAAGTTTGTTAGATGAAGTTGTCTATCACTTCCTATTGTTGGGGAGCTCATAAAAAAGAAATTTCTCCCAAAATTCAACAAATAGTTTTTGGTTTTTGAACAAAAATATTGGAATGCTCCAATATTGTGCTTCTAACCCATTGACATTAGACTGATTTTTTTTTCCAATTAAAAACTGGGAGAGCTTTAAATTTCAATGCCTGAAATTTAAATTTAAATTTAATTCAAGTTGAATTCTATTGCATCTCTGGATACACAGAAGCTCTAGGGCTTCTAAAGCTAAATGTGGCATAGTTTTATATCCTGTTCACTCTTCATTTTCTGTATTTTGTAAGGTAGGGTTGAGATAAAGGTGGGTAACTTTGTATTCAAAATTATTTCTGAACCTTTGGTGAATAGGAGGACTTCCCAAGCTCTTGAACTGGATAACTTATCTGAGAATTGCAGATAAAGGATTATTCTGAGTTAAGACTAGTAGTATAACTGACTGAGATTTAGATTGTTGTATATTACTGACTTAATTATTTTTATTCTTAGTTATGAGTGTAACATAATTGCAGTGGTTTCGGAAGTTAATGTGGCCCATCAACACAGGACTGATTGCCTACGAGCATCTTTTGTTGATGTTTCCTGTTTCAAGCTTCAAAAAATAAGGAGCTTATATTTTTCATGTCTCTGGCAAGACAAACTACTTCCGGGTGAGCAACTCTGGCAACTTTACGACCTGTGGACTTCAACTCCCAGAATTCCTGAGCCAAATGGCTCAGGAATTCTGGGAGTTGAAGTCCACAGGTAAAGTTGCCCATCTCTTCACGACGTGGTTAATGATCTTTTTATTTTTTTAAAAGTCACAATACCTACCAAACTAAAAATGAATGCTTGAGGGAAGAGTTAATCTTTAAAATAACTTACCAACCATTAATCCCTATATAAAGATCCAGATCTATTAGAGCTGCCGCTTCTTCTTTGGTGCCATCAAAAGAGTGAACCTATAAAAATAATTAGAAGCGTATGTATGTATGTATGTATGTATGTATATATATCTGGTTATTCGGGTTTTCTCCCGCGTAAAATTGGAAGTATCTTGGCAACGTTTCAACAAAATCTCATTCGTCATCTTCAGGCTTGTGTCTTCGGCTTTGTGCTTCTTGGAGTAATGTGAGCTTGCAGCTGCTTCTTCCTTTTAACTGCTAGTGGGAGTGTGACTTGATTGGGTGGGGGCTTGGCTGTGTTTTAATTGGCTGGGGGTGTGTTCTCATTGGTTGGGGGTTTGGCTGTGTTCTGATTAGTTGGGGGGTTGGCTGTGTTCTGATTGGCTGGGGGTGTGTTCTGTTCAGGTGGGGGCTTGGTTGTGCTCAGGTTAGTTTTAGTTGCCGGGGGATTTGAGCTGGTGAGCTGTGATCCTGTTGTTTGGTTTCGCGTTCGTGGTTGTGCCACATCTTCATGGTGGGCGTCCGTTCGCTTCATGTATGGGTCGGAGGGGTTTGAAGCGGGTAGTGATGCAGCTGCGGTACGGCTGCGGTACGACAACTAAGACTAACCTGAGCAACCCCCCAACCAATCAGAACACAGCCAAACCCCCAACCAATGAGAAGCTCACATTACTCCGAGAAGCACAAAGCCGAAGACACAAGCCTGAAGATGACGAATGAGATTTTGTCAAAACGTTGCCAAGATATTTCCAATTTTATGCAGGAGAAAACCCGAATAACCAAAGATCCACATACAAATACCTGTGAAAACTTCAGAATATATATATATATATATATATCATAAGACAAAAGGTAAATGTTTGTTAACACGGACAATCCTCAATAAAGGACCATGATGGAAGTCTGCCAATCACAATCGTAAAGCGAGTTGCCCCTGTAACCTGATCAGATTTTAATGACTTAGTTTGTGGTAGGAGTTAAGTAAACCAATTGTTTGCTACGGGCTGATTTTGCTGAAACCTGGAAATGCTGATCACATGACTAGGTTGCTGAGCATCTGAAATGCAGTCATGTGACTACGGGGAGGAGGGATGGCCATTAAAACTTCAGAATGTAAGTATCCCTGAGAAAGTGTGTCATAACTTTGAATGTCACTAAAGGAGCGGTCATAAGCTGAGGATTACCTGTACTCAGTCATACAATTCCCTCTAATTATTTCTGTTGATTTTTCTGGATGCCATCTGGCAGCTGTGCATGCATGAAAAATGTGAGGAAAAATTTAGCAATTCCACCTAGGAAGATGATGTGGCTGTTCCCTTTTTCACAGCTGTGTCATTCTTTGTGCTACCCTACCAGATTCAGGTACCCCAGTCTATCCAAGTTCAACTTCTAAACACGGCTAGCAAGGCCTAAGGTTGACCAGGTCATGGAAGGACAGTTGCCAAATTTAAAATAAAAAGATTCAGATCACAGAAATCCCAATTCAAAAAGAATTACAAAATACCAATAACTGAAAGAAAAACTTGGCTTGATGCTAGATCCGAAATACTATTCCTTCCTCTAGTGTTTTACAAGGGAAGGTTTGGTCGAAGAATGCAAACACAGAGAGAAATGTCTAACCTATTTGTGATGGAAATATAGCAATAGACTTTAAATCACAAAAAAAGTGTTGATGAAAAACATAGCTGCATTGCACCTACCACTCCTCCTGTACACCTCTCTCTATTTCGCCTCATTATATCTGTGGAAAAAAAGAATTTGATTTTAGAATCTTAAGAATTTTTGTTCCCTCAAAAGTACACATTCGTTCTTTTAGTTTTCTAACAAAACTCACCTAGGAATTCTGGGTGCGAATTCCTGCAGTGCAAAAACATTGGCAATTTGGTTTGCTCAGATAGATCAAACTGTTTTTCAAAATACCTGAAAGAAAATAATAATTGTATTGATCAATCATTGAATCCATAGTATTTACAGCTTCTCAATTCTAACAATATGATTCTGGATGACAAGCAATGCAACACTGAAAAACAAATCCCTATAGAACAGTATAACAGAAGTTTGAAAGACAGGATGGCCAGTAAAACATATCTGAAACAATAAGTACATTGCTTACTTGAGTTGAATCTCTTTGGGGCAGAATTCTAATCTGTCGAAGTCTGGAAAGGGGAAAAACAGACAGTGAAGAGGCCTTCAAAAAACTGCCATGAAAAAAAAATGCACTTATGCCAAGGAGTTAATACGTACCCAAGCCACACTCCCCAATTGCGACAACCTTCCCTTTGTTCTTCTCAGCTAAATCTTGTAACTCCTCTAAGTACCGGTCAGGATTACCCTGACTGAATTCCCCACAGCGAGTGGGATGGCAGCCAACAGTACTGTAAAACATTTCTGAAATCAGACCACAGGAAAGTGTTGATATAACTGAGGCAGACTCTATTAAAACAAGAGAGTCCTGTACTTATGATCATAATTTCTGTTGCTAAGAGAGACATTCATTTTGCCCCATTTTACAACTTTTCTTGCCACAGTGAAGTGAAACACTGCAGTTGTTAGGTTAATAACATGGTTGTGAGGTGACACTGGCTTTCCCACTGACTTCTCAGAAGTTTGCAAGATGTGATCACGTGACTCTGGGATACTACAAATGTCATAAATATGAACCCGCGAATGTAAATCACGTGACCGTGGGGATGCTGCAATGGAGCAAAAGATGTGAGTGTAAGTGTGAAAAATGCTCATGTCACTTTTTTCAGTGCTGTCATTAACTTTGAATGGTGACTAAACGAACTATTGTTAACTCAAGGACTACCTGCATTCTCTTGGATCGTGAATGTTGATTACGTTTTTTGCTAGTGATTGTATTTGTAAAAGAAGCTACTATTCCCTGCCTGCAAGGATTTGTAAACAAAAGCATAAGAATTGCAACAGATTCATTCTTGTTTTAAAGCCAGTTAGATAATCTTTTTCTCTGTAGCTAGTGCCTGAGGTAACAATTGTCAGCTGCCTCTCAAACATTTCCTGGAGAAACTCCCCACATACAAGCATGCAACACAAATACATACATGTACAGGTAGTCCTTGACATATGACCAAAATTAAGCCCAGAATTTTTGCTGCTAAGTGAGAAATTTGTTAAGTGAGTTTTGCCCCATTGTATGACTTTTCTTGCCACACTTGTTAAGTGAATCACTGCAGTTGTTAAATTGGTAACACAGTCATTAAGTGAATCTGGCATCCCCATTAATTTTGCTTGTCAGAAGGTCACATGACCCTGGGACACTGCAACCGTCATAAGTATGTGCCAGTTACCAAGCGTCCAAATTTTGATCATGGGAATGCTGTATTGATTGTTAAGTGTGAAAACCAGTCATAGATCATTTTTTTCAGCGTCGTTTTAACTTTGAACGGTCACTAAACAAATGGTTGTAAGTCAAGGACTACCTGTACTTGCCATCTCCCGATTTCTCTCCTCCCGTGTCAAACTCTTGCTTTCATCATGTGACCACTGGATCCTCCACATATTCTTTTCTCAGTGAGCGTAAGATAAACAACTTTCCTAATTTGCAGGTGGAGGAAAAGTTTCGCTTTCCTTTTAAGTAAATACAAGTGTGGGATAATTCAAGCATTCCACTTAAGGGTGACACAGGATGAAAGAAAATACCATTGGTTTGGGCCAGCTGCAAAGCATCTTTGCTGTCTTGTAGATTACCACCTGCGATGATGAGCTGAAATAAAGAAAAAAAAACCCATGTAAATGCTAATTTCCCAACACCAAGTTTAATATGCTTCGGGAGGGACATAAATTGAAAGTCAACAGCAAGGAAAAATGGGCAGTTCAGACAATAAGAAGGAACACATCTAAAAACATTTAATTCCAAAGTTACCTTTTGAACTCCAATTTTGATTGCTCTGTCTATTACATCCAAGAAATCATCTGAAAATATATATACACACACATATATAAATATGTTAAAGTTAAAACCCATATTTTTCAAATGCAGCGATGCTCAAACTTACATTCACAATTTCTATTTGCTGGGGGAGGTATTGTTGTTCAAAGCTTCGTAACAATAAACATTGCAATCATCTTATGCCATCTTAATTAAATTGTAAACCTGAATCTAGCATTCCTCTTTTCAACTTTTTGACAAGAATAATATTGCTGTGTACAAATGCAATATATGTGGAGCACTGATATATTTTCCAACAGAATTTCAAAGGAATAGTCTTCTCCAAAATGATGGGATCACAGCTAGCAATGACTGATGAGGATTTGGGACAGTATTTGAAATAACGAGCAACCCCAGCTTCCTCCATTGACTTTCCTTATTGGGAACCCCTTGGGAAAACCACAAATTGTGATCACATGATCCTGGGGTGTTGCAATTGTTGTAAATACAGATATCATAGCCCTGAACTTACAACAGTTAAGTTTAGTGACCGTTCAAAGTTACAAAGCACTGAAAAAAGTGACTTGTGACCATTTTTCACACTTATGACCATTGTAGCATACCCAGGGTCATGTGATTTACATTCAGATGCTTGACAACTGCCTCACATTTATGGCAGTTGCAGAGTCCCAGAGTCATGTGACAAGCAAAGCCAATGGGGAAGCCAGATTTAGTTAACAACCGTGTTACTGATTTATCAACTTCAGTGATTCGCTTAACAAATGTGGCAAGCAAAGTCAGAAAATGGGGCAAAACTCACTTACATTTCTCACTTAACATAAATTTTGGGCTCAATTGTGGTTGTAAGTTGAGGACTACCTGTACATGCTCGTTGCCAAGCATCAGATTTTGATAATGTGACTATGGGGATACTGCATTGGTTTTAAATGTGATAACTGGTCATAAGGCTTTTTTTTCAATGCCATCATAACTTCAAACAATTGTTAAATAAACGGTAGTAAATTAAGAATTGTCTGTATTAACAGAATTTATCTTCCCATGCTCAAAAATTCAGAACAATGTTAACCTTAGACATGAAATAGATATTCTTGTTACTTGAGAGAAGGTAGACCAAAACAGAGAGAAATTACACTGACAATAAAGGTATATTTTAATCAAAGCTGTGCTTTCCCCAGCTGAGTTACATAGCTGTAACACCAGGATCACAAGGAATGCTGAACAAAGAAAAATGGATGCCCCTGAATTGTGGTATATGCCACAAAAATAGTTATGAATACTTAGAAATTCATGATTTAGTTCAGGAGTGTCCAATCTTCAATCATTTAGTTCAGATGTGTCCAAGCTTGACATCTTTAAGACCTGTGGACTTCAACCCTCCACATGTTGGCTGGGGAATTCTGTGACTTGAAGTCCACAAGTCCTAAAGTTCCCAGGTTTGGACAGCCTGATTGAATTCATGAAATAAAACAACACTATTCTCTGGAGACACTAATTCAAAAGCTAACACTTAAACATTTTAGACATATAATCACTCAATGGAGAAGACCATGAAGCTTGGAAAAATGGAAAGCAGTTGAAAAAGCAGTTGTACAGAAAGTGGTTTCTCTTAAGTGATCAAGTGAACGAACATCAAACAAAATACACGGAGGCCTCCATTTTAGGTTTCTTTCCTCTTCAGGGTCCAGAGAAAATACAGCATGAAAAGGTCTACTTATAGTTATTATTATGCATCTATATACCCCAACATCTGGTGTTGGGAATAAACCAATAAAAAACTTTACCTTTATGTTTTTGGGTGCCCCTGTATATACCTCTGAACATAGGATCGGTTAAGTTAACACCAATATCTAGTTAGAAGAAAAAGCAATAATTAGCTACTAATCAGGTTAAGCACAGGTATATAATTTTGCTCCCTGCAGCAAATATAATCTTTGTTTTCAGCATCTTCTCAAAGCATCCCTCACTGCAGCTCCACGTTGACAGAAGAGACACTTCATTAAAATCCTATTAGCTCAATTCCTATGATGCCCTTCAACAGGTTCAGAAAAAAAAGAGTCAGAAGGTCCAACCTCCCACCCCACCTGTCAAGCAGGAGAGACCCCATACCATTTCTGGCAGATGGCAGTCCAGTCTCTTTTTGAAAGCTTCCAGGTAATGAAGCTCCCATGACAAGCTCACCTTGATTAATGCTAATTTGTGTGTGTGTGTGTGTGTGTGTGTGTGTACGCACGCACACATACGCAAACCATTTCGTTTGCAGGCTGATGTGGTTCAAGGAGTTGTGCCAACCCAGAACTAACATGCATTCCCTAAACCAAAACCAGCAGGTTGTATGAAGGCAGCCCCCAAAATCCAAGCTGGGACCCAAAGTTGCTTTTTTCAGGAGGCAACTGGACTTTCTGGTTTTTCTTTGAAGACATTTCGCTTCTCATCCAAAAAGCTGCTTCAGCTCTGACTGGATGGTGGGGAATGGAAAGATTTATTTTCCTTGCAGACAGCTGGTCATTTGCATCCTTTTTAAAGTGTAGTTGAGGCCACTTGGAGGTTTATGTGTGTCCTGAGGAGTGCTCCTGGTTCCTGTAGTCTGCAAAGAAAAACTAGAAAATCAAGTAGCCTCCCGAAAAAACACCTTTGGGACAACCATGACCTGGATGACTGAGAAGCTCTACAGATGTTTAGAATTAGAATTGTTTATTGACCAAGTATGATTAGACACACCAGGAATTTGTCTTTGGTGCATATTATGCTACATAAAAGGAAAAAAAAATACATTCATCCAGAATCATAAGATACAACACTGGGTGATAGTCATAGGTTACTAATAAGCAATCAAATCATACTAGGAAACAATATAAATCGTAAGGATACAAGTAACATGGTTGTTATGACTCCCCTTCAAAATTCAAGCGAGCAAAACAGAAAGCAGCCGTTTCAAAAGTAAATCAAACAGAAAGAAGTCTCACAAGATAACGGCTGTCATAAATCACAATCCACAGCAACAATCTTTGCTCTGTTTGGCAAACCAGTCCTGGCAAAAAATCTCAAGCCTCAGAGCTTCTGCTGTAACGTCTTCACGCAATAAGTCACTTTGTTCCTGGCAAATTTTACCAGCCCAGCTGTGTCCTTTTATACTCATTGAGGCAACGTGCTAATTTCCTTAATTATTGACTCGCCCTCCTCCTTCGTTCTAACTGGGTTTGCCTCCTTAATCGTCTTCTGTTCCTTACATTTAACCACAAGTTTTCCAAGTTCTCATCTCCACTAGAAGACTCTCTCAAAACTTCCCTGTCAGCCATTCCCGGCTGTTGATCAGATAAGGAACCAAAGGAGGTCAAAGGTCCTGACAATTCTAATACATCAGGTCTGTCTTCCTTTGTCACATCCATCTCCTCATCCTGGTTACTATTCCCATCACTGAGCCCTGCCGGCTCATATTTTTCTGCCATGTCCTCCTCACTTGAACTCATATCAGCCACAGGAGCTGAATCCAAGCCCGGAGCCACAACACATGGTTATATCATAAGTGGGAGGAGATAGGTAATAGGAAGGATGAGAAGAAGAATAGTGATATAGCCTTAGTTCAATTCAATTCAAACCTTTATTGTCAGAGTAGAACATGTGCACAATGAGCTTGGCTGAGTCTCCCTTTGTGCACTCCCCCTGCAACACAATACAACTCAGTGAAAGACAGAAAATCCTTAACCCATTGAATCCTACTAACACACACAATCCTATTGCACCATGTGAACTTATTGCACGTTGTGCCGTCCTTGTAAATAGTAAACAGTTTGAGCATGTTGTGGGAATTAGTTGTTTGGCAGAGTGATGGCATTTGGGGGGGAAACTGCCCCTGTGTCTAGTTGTTCTGGTGTGCAGAGCCCTATACCATCATTTTGAGGGTAGAAGTTGAAACAATTTATGTCCAGGATGTGAGGGGTCTGTAGGTATTTTCACAACCCTCTTTTTGACTCGTGCAGTATACAGGTCTACAGGTTTAGCTATACAATTCCGGATGAACTCCCTTTGAATGGTGTGGGAGTAGGAATGGATTTCCAGAGGGGGAAAAGAAATTGCAGACTACAGGAACCAGAAGCATTACTCAGGTGACCCTGAGGACACAGATAAACCTCCAAGTGCTTCAAGGACCCTCTAAAACAGAGCTCTCCAAACTTGGCCACTTTAAGACTTGTGGACTTCAACTCCCAGAATTCCTTAGCCAGCTTTACACTGCTTTGCTGGCTGAGGAATTCTGGGAGTTGAAGTCCACAAGTCTTAAAGTGGCCAAGGTTGGAGACCCCTGCTCTAAAACAGAGGTCTCCAAACTTGGCAACTTTTAAGTCCACAAGTCTTAAAGTTGCCAAGTTTGGGGGGGGGGGGCTGCTCTAAAAGGATGCAGATGACCAGCTGTCTGCAAGGAATATAAATCCTTCCAATTCCCCACCATCCAGTCAGAGCTGAAGAAGCTTCTTGGATGAGAAGCGAAACGTCTTCAAAAGAAAAAAAAACCAGAAAGTCCAGTTGCCTCCATGACCAGGATGACTGAGAATCTCCATAGACCAAGCTGGGACCATCAAGAGGGAAGCGAGCTCCAAGGGCTTCCCTCAGGGACTCATTCCCACAGACACCCAACCTCGTATTCTGCCCCAGGACTGCCCCTGGACACTGCGCCGTCCCCGCGTTGCCAGGGCAACCGCTCTCACCAATGAACTTGAAGCGACTCATGACGACAACGGCAGAACCCGCGCGCACCTTTCACGCTCGCTCCAAAGAGGCAGAGGAAGAGCCGTTAAAGCACCGCCCCTCACTTCCGGTTGCCTCGGGATCGCGCGGCTGTCTCACCACCCAATCCCCCTCGCTCCCCTGAAGGAAACAAAACCTCCGGAAACGAAACGTTCCAGGGAAGGAAGTGGCCGCCTTCTGGTGCTCAGCGGCGTTCTTGCCGCCGGGATTCCAACGAGTTGGTTTTGCACAGCGCACCAAGCCTCAATGCAAAAGCAAAATAAATAAATAAAAAGAAATAGCTATCGGTGTCAAGTTAGTCTCGTTTCATAACAGCAGACTCCCAGCACCCTCTTTTCCTCCTGGCCTTCTGCATGGGCCGCTCCGTTTGTATTGGCCCATGTGTGTGCGTGTGCAATCCTATCTTAATATTATATTTATCAGAATAGAATAGAATAGAATGCAATGCAATGCAATGCAATGCAATGCAATGCGATGCAATGCAATGCAATAATGCAATGCAATGCAATGCAATGCAATAATGCAATGCAATGCAATGCAATGCAATGCAATGCAATTCTTTATTGGCCAAATGTGATTGGACATACAAGGAATACGTATTATATTTATATATATATAATTCTGATCTTGCAGACACACCTCAAGCCCACACCTCACGGCACACAAAATGCGTTCACAAAAAGGTGAAGCAAAATTACATTACATTACAATTCAATTCACTCTACTGTATTGTACTATACAGAAAGGGTCTGCAACCTTGGCTTTGAGGCTTGTGGACTTCGACTCCCGGAATTCCTCAGCTGGCAAAAACGAAGTTGGCTGAGGAATTCCGGGAGTTGAAGTCCACAAATCTTAAAGTTGCTAAGATTGGAGACCCTTGGTGCACTTAGAGTAGACTAGGCTAGACCAGGGGTCTGCAACCTTGGCAACTTTAAGCCTGGTGGACTTCAACTCCCAGAATTCCTCAGCCACCTTCGTTTTTGCCGGCTGAGGAATTCAGGGAGTCGAAGTCCAGAAGCCTCAAACAGTTGCCAAGGTTGCAGGCCCTTGCTGTACAGTACAGTATAGTACAGTAGCTTTGCTGGCTGGGGAATTCTGGGAGTTGAAGTCCTCCAGCCTTAACGTTGCCAAGGTTGCAGACCCCTGGAGCTAGACTACACACTACACACTACTATACTATATTATGCACTACTATACTACACACTACTATACTATACACTATTATATTACTGTACTGTACTGTACTAAACTATACTATATGCAATGCTATGCCATACTACCGGTAGATTTAAATATATTATAATATTAATCTTCCATAACTTAAATATTCTACTCCCGCTGGACTCTAGATGCCGGCAGAGAGGTCCCTCTAATTATTATCTCTGTGAGTCCATATCTAGCAGATAACGTCATATCCTACCCAGGAGGAGGAGGAGGAGGAGGAGGAGAGGATTACTCGTAGAGATAGGAAATTGAGAATTATACTTTGCAGAAAAACCATTATAGATTCCCGAGGGTTATAAAGAGGCGCCCTTCCTGAGACCTTCTCTCCCCAGCCTTCGATCGGGCTCTTTCGGTATCGACGCGCAGGTCGCAGGAACCCGTGACGGATGCATCGATGGCGGCGCATCACTCTTGACTTCTTTCTCTCTCTCTCTAGAGGCCGTGAGCTTCCCGTCAGCCCCTGCGGCGCAAGCTGTCTCCCTCACCCCCCCCCCTTCCCCGGCCTGAAAGTCGACCGGGGCGCAGTCAAGATGGCGGGCTACCTGTCGCATCGGCAGAAGGTGCTGCGGCTCTACAAGCGAGCCATGCGGCACCTCGAGTCCTGGTGTATCTATCGGTGAGTCCCTGGCCCCTCCGGCCCCTCCCGCAGCCCCTTAACGAGCCTCCGCTCCCTCCTGGTTTGCGGGCGGATCCCCAACCCTCGGTGTGTCTGAGCGCTTGTAGTCTGTTTAACCTGGCGGACGATTTCCAAGGTCCGAAGAGCGTTTCTCCCTCGGTTTACCGGCGCCTCTGCGCGTTTCCCTCCGTTGCGCGTTTGTTGCGCGGATCCTACGCCGAGTCAATCCTCGAGTCGGTGGCCTCTGTTGGCAGGGCAGCTCGGGGGGTTCGGTCAGAAAGGTTGGGTGAGGGCTGGGACCGGGCATCCCGCTGGCGAAGCCATGGCTGGGACATTGAGCCTTGCTTCTTTGCTGGATAAGGCAGATTGCCAGGGCAGAGGAGGTAGGGATGGACGTGGCAGTGGGATTCATTCAGGAAATACAGCTTGGCAAGAGTAAGGATAGGAATAGAATATAGAATAGAATATAGTATAGAATATAGAATAAAATATAGAATATAGAATAGAATATAGAATAGAAAAGAATATAGAATAGATTAGAATATAGAATAGAGTAAAATATAGAACAGAATATAGAATAAAATAAAATGTAGAATAAAATATAGAAAAGAAAAGAATATAGAATAGAATAAAATATAGAATAGAATATAGAATAAAATAAAATATAGAATAAAATATAGAATAGAAAAGAATATAGAATAGAATATAGAATAGAATAGAATAGAAAAAATAGAATAGAAAAAATAAAATATAGAAAATAGAATAGAATAAGAATAGAATATAGATTAGATTAGATTAGAATATTGAATAGAATAGAAAATAGAATAGAGTAGAATAGAAACTTTATTGTCACTTTGAATGTACCCTAATTGGCATACATTAAAATGAAATTTCGTTGCGTACTGCTCTCAGAGGGTCACTACCTCCAATATACACTACATAAACATGACAAAATAAATACAAAATTATGCATATACCCACATCTGTGACACAACACAGTATAGTCTGGATGTATTCATGGTGAGAAGAACGAATCTTGAGAGTTTACCAGACGGATGGCATAGGGAAAAAAGCTGTTGCAGAATTGGGTAGTCCTGCTAGAAATACTTTGAAATGTGGCATGGGCAAATTAGGATGATGGGGTGAGGTAGGAGGTTGCATTTTTTTCTATGAAGAAAAACAAGAATTTAGCTTCAGAAATAAGTTCTGTACCATAGTCATTTCAGCCCTGCATAAAATTTATTAAATTTATATGCTGCCCATCTCATCAAAAGTGACTCTGATCCCCAGCTACAAAGTTCCAGGGGGAAAAAAATCCTATGATTGGATATATAATCTATTTAAAATGGAATGTAATTAATGGATTGATTACAGCTGGGTAGAAATCATGTAACTTGATTCACTATAGTGCAATATTTGACTATTAGGGCCCTCTAGTGGCCATTCAACACAATTTTTCCACTTGACAAGTTTTTAAGGAGTGTCTGCACTGCTATTACTGTTAATCTTCTCATCACTCCTTATCACCCATCCCCTCCCACTTGTGATTGTATGACTGTAACTTTGTCGCTTGTATCCTTATGATTTACATGGACTGTTTCCTAATATGATTTGATTGCTTATTATATATTAAGTTTTGTACCTAATGATTTTTGACTCTCAACGAATGTATCTTTTATGTATAGAAAGAGCATTTGCACTAAGACAAATTTCTTGTGTGCCCAGTCACACTTGGCCAATAAAAGAATTCTATTCTATCAATTCTATTCTATTCTTGCTATATTTTTATCCCACTTTTAGTTATTCCCCGCAAGAAGAACCCTTTGAAATGTGTTGGGCTTGAGTGACTCGCCCAAAGTTAGCCAGCCAGCTTTGAAGAAATCCGTGGCAAGCCTCTTCCATACCCTTGACATGATAGCAGTCTTCCCATATTTGAAGGGCTGTCAAAGGGAAGTGGGGGGTCAATTTATTCTCCAAAACGTCAAGGGACAGGACAAGAAGCCATGGGTGGAAGCTTGTCAGAGGGAGAGCCAACCTTGAAACCAGAACGCAGCGAGAACTCTTAGTAGTGGAACCGTTCAGTAGTGCCTTTTGGGAGTTGTGGAGGTTTTTAAGAAAAGATTGGACGGCCATTTGTCTGAAATGGCATAAGGACTCCTGCCTTGGGCAGATGATTGGACTAGAAGACCTCCAAGGTCCCTTCCAGCTCTTTAATTCTTATCAAGAAAACTGTCAACACCAGAAGCAGAAACAAGGAATAAAATCCCCCACTCGTTAAGGAAAATATGAAGTATTTGTCAGTTCTAAAGATAACTATGGTTTTCCATTCTTGGAATAAATACTATCTTTAATATTCTCAGGGATAATTATAGATACCATGCCTGTCTGCTGAGAGCAAGATTTGATGAGCATAAGGATGAAAAAGACATGATTAAAGCAACTAAGCTGTTGATGGCTGCTGAAGAAGAATTTTGGGAAAAGCAACACCCTCAGCCGTACATCTTTCCTGACTCTCCAGGTGGCACAAGCTATGAGAGATACGAGTGCTTTAAGGTCAGGAGGTGACGTGGCCGGCGTTACAAATAATCAGTTCCTTGATAGGTTGCAGAATATTGGCCTTCTGAACGCCAAGAGGTTTCAGGAACTTTTCATTAGTGAGTAGAAGGAGATTCCCCATCAGATGCAGCATTATCGTCTAGTTCTGAGGAAGAATCCATGAATGAAGGCCGCAGGGAAGCTGTCCAGGTCTCACATTAATGAGTGACCAGCATCAGTGACCAGCCTCTATCTGCCTTGGCAAGACCTTAAAGACACAGGAGAAAGCTCGGGGGCAGGGCACGCTTTGCTTGGAGGAGCCCTTCCGCTTGACCTCCAGTTTGAAGAGAGACCTAATAGCAGGGGATGTGAGGGAACAGAAGGTTCTAGAACAAGGGTGTCAAACTTGACTTCATTGAGGGCTGCATCAGAGTTGTGTTTGACTGGGGGGGGGCGGGCAGGGGGATGTGGCCAGGGTGGGCATGGCTAGCTCGACGTCTCTTGTGTTGGGATGCCTGTGGTGGCCCAAGTGCTCTGCCCGCTAAAACGGGCTCCTGAGTGCCGTTTTTGGCTGCAACAGCCTCCTGTAACCCTCTCCCAGCGAAAACAGAGCTCCGTGGGCCTTTGCTGTTTCCAAGGCAGCCCCGCGGACCAGATCTAAGCACCCTGCAGGTCTGATCCGGCCCGCGGGCCTTGAGTTTGACACCCCTCCTCTGGAAAGTTGTTGCCAAACTGCAGTCCTTGGAGAAGTTCACAGGACAGTTTGTGTATTCAGCAATATCTCTCATGTTTGTAACTAGTGCTTGAGACATCCAGAGGCAGCAGTTTGAGCCACACATAGTGATCTGAAGATAGCACACTCTCCACATGGCTGGATGGTGTTCTATGCACTGAATAGTTGCTAGGGAAGGATCTAATTATTTGAGGCATTCGGTTTCTGAGGCTTGCTAATCATCCCACCATTAAAATATGCCTTCTACCATTCCTTGATCCCATCCACACTTTTTGGGAGGGTAAAAGAGCCACTACATTGCTGTAGCAGCACCCAACTTTTTGAAACAGCAACCTTCCTGTGAGATCAGGCTGGATCAACCCCCATGGTTGGTTTCTCAGGAAATTTTGAAGATAAAACTGTTCTGAGACTCCTCATTGGTTGTTTCTACCTTATCTTTATTTTTGGTGGTTTTACTATTGCATTATTATATTGCCATTGTTTTTTTTTTCCAAATCATAGATATGCCTGTGTGAGCCTCCAATTTTTTTGTTTGACACACACATCACTCTTTATATATATCAAATGCCCTGATTCTGCCTTACCAAGATAATCCAGTAATTTTCTAGAATTAAGTCTTCTAATGCAGGAAATAGTATCTTTGGAATCTCATCATTTTGATTTTAAACAGTGTTTCTCAACGTCAGTAACTTTAAGATGTATGGACTTCAATTCCCAGAATTCCTCAGCCAGCATATTGGCCGAAAAGTTCTGGGAGTTGAAGTCCATACATTTTAAAAGTTGCTGAGGTTGAGAAACATTGGTTTAAACAGATCAACAACCACAATCTAACTATTATTAGATGGAGAAGATACAAAATAAATTACATGAAAGAGCAAGAAGAAGACTGTTATCCCTTTGAAGATGCAGTGAATAAACCTTCTGTTTATGCTTCCACCCTGTAGTCACCTGAATGGATCCTAGAAATGTGGCACCCATCAGAGAAAGCCATGTACCCAGATTACTTCGCTAAGAGAGAACAATGGAAGAAGCTGCGCCTGGAAAGTTGGGACAAGGAGGTTGGTTATCAGACAGACTATATTTTACAATTGCTTTTCCATGAAATAATTTTGAAGCAAGTCACAAATCTGTGGGGTGATACTCTGGGATATGGGTCTTAAAATGTGGCCTCATGGCTTGTCACCTTCTGTTTAGCCCCGCTTCTTGAGCTTGTGAGGGAGCCAGAAGTCTTGACTCTTTTTCAGAGTGGACAGCTGAGGAGTAAAATGGGTACCTGAGAGGAGAAAAAGCAAAGCACTTTTTGCCTCTTAAAAGCCTCACCAAAATGGTTGTTTCCCAAAGGAGCTTAATATTTGGCATGCTATCAACTTTTCTTTTTCTTTCTTTCTTTCTTTCTTTCTTTCTTTCTTTCTTTCTTTCTTTCTTTCTTTCTTTCTTTCTTTCTTTCTTCCTTCCTTCCTTCCTTCCTTCCTTCCTTCCTTCCTTCCTTTCCTTTCCTTTCCTTTTCTTTTCTCTTTCCTTTTTCTTTCTTTCTCTTTCTTTCTTTTTCTTTCTCTCTCTCCCTTCCTTCCTTCCTTCCTTCCTTCCTTCCTTCCTTCCTTCCTTCCTTCCTTCCTTTCCTTTCTCTTCCTTCCTTCCTTCGTTCCTTCCTCCCTCCCTCCCTCCCTCCCTCCCTCCCTCCCGTTTGTTTGTCTCTTTCTCCTCAAGAGAACCAGGCTTTTCTGGGGCTCATATAGCCACACAAGCTCAGGAAAATAATGTGCTTGTATGATGATAATCATACAATAACATAGTTTGATTTCTTAACTGAAGCACAATTTTTTGCTGGGATCACGTGGCTGCTTTGGAAGTTTAGAACACGATGTGGCCTTTTTGAGAAAGTGCCAACATGTTTTAATGCTCATTATCTATTCTGAGGGAAGTTTTTGCCCATAGCACTGAAGCACGTGAGATCCCTAAAATCCCAAAGATACTTGATCAGTTGAGCTGGTTTAGCATTAGATGCATTCATTCTGCCTCTGTCCATTTAGAGCCATTTCTCCCAACTTAGAACAGCTCTTATTCTTTTCTGTTCATCCCTGAATCTCCAAAGAGGCTTTTAAATGGATGGAGTGTTGGGGGGGGGGGGGACACTTTTTATAGAAAATATCACTGTATTTTTTTCTAGATCTGTTGCTGGCTGGAATTGGAAATGAACTTTTAATCAGAACACTCAAAATGTCTTAAAACAGCCCATTTCCAGATTATAGGGACACTTACTGTTGATGGTTTTTAAAAACTGGATTCAGGGTGCATTAAGTTTATGAATTGCCATAAAGGGCAGTATTAAGGCTTTTCATGTTTGAAAGGGATGGTTGACATTAAAAATGCTTCCGTTGAAGTCTCTTCTCCCCCCCCCACTCTTGCAACTGCCTTACAAAACCACACACACACACACACACACCAAACAAATGAGAAAATCCTGTAGATGTGCTGCTGGAAGCTTCTTTTTATTACAGATAGTCCTCAATTTACAATCACAGTTGAGTCCCAAATTTTCTGCTGCTAAGCAAAACAATTGTCAAATGAGTTTTGCCCCATTTTATGACCTTTGTCATCGTTGTTAAGTGAATCCCTCACTGCAGTTGTTAAGTTAGTAACGCTTGGGTAGTTAATAACACTGGTTGTTCAGTGAATCTGGTTGATTTTTTTTTGCTGGTCAGGTTGCAAAAAAGGGAATCGTGATCTTGGGACATTGCAACCGTCATAAAGCATAAGTCAGTTGCCAATTGTCTGAATTTTGATCATGTGACCATGGAGATGCTGCATCGGTCGTGGGTGTGAAAAATGGTCATGTCATTTTTTTTTACATGACGTTGTAACTTTGGATGGTCACTAGATGAACTGTGTGGTTGTAAGTTGAGGACTACCTGTAATGTGGAAATGCTGCTTAAGACGTGTCCTAAATCAGGGGTCGCCAACCTTTTGGACTTCAGGGACCACCAAAGTCATAATTTTAAATCCCGCGGACCAGAGACCCTGGGAAAATCCCCCCAAAAGTCTGCAGGAAAATCCCCCACCCCGTTTTCCTACCGATCGATCGTTCTTTATTTGGGATCACAGGATACCGTCTCCAGCTCCGTTCTCGGGGAGAGAGAGACTTTTGGCTTCATGCAAGGAAAGCAGCAGGAGCAGAAGTCTTTCTTTCTCTCCCCCAATCTCTGCCAGAAATGAGTCTTTGTGAGACTTGTCGCACAGGCAGGAGGCCTTGCAGGGTCCCAAAGACTAGTTTGTGGCGGAGTTTGGGGGAGAGAAAGAGAGACTTTTGCTGCTTTCCTTGCATGCAGCCAAAAGCAGAAGAAGAAAGAAGCGGAAAGAAGCAGCCCAGTGGCCAGGCCAGGCTTGTGGAGTGAGTGGGCAAGTTCCCCCCCTCTGCCCTTTCCCCCCTTCCCTCATTACCTCGTGTTGTTCGCAATGCAGGTGACGCAAGCCTTGTGTTCCTGCGGCCCATGTGGGCAGTGCAGCCTTGTGTCCTCGCACAGCCTGGATTAATTGCTTTGGGGGGTGGTTTGGAATTACATTTCTCTGCGGACCACCAAAATTTTCTCACGGACCACCAGTGGTCCCTGGCCCACTGGTTGGCGACCACTATCCTAAATTAAGCATTTCCCCCTCGAGCGTGTGAAATGCTGCAGGTTCTGGGTTAACCCTGTTTCTCATTGACAGGTCCAGCAACTTCAGGAAGAAACCCCACCCGGAGGTCCCACTACGGAAGACTTACCTCCAGCTCGTAAAGAGGGACACCTGCCTCCGCTCTGGTGGCATTTCGTAACTAAGCCTCGCAGATACCCGTTGTAAGAACCTCCACTCTAAAAGGTCTGTCTTAACCCCAGAGGTCTCCAAACTTGGCAATTTTTAAGACTTGTGGACTTCAACTCCCAGAATTTCTCAGCCAGTTATGCAATCCACAAGTCGTAAAAGTTATCAAGTTTGGGGACCCCTGATCTAACCCCACGAAATGGTCTGTGAGCTTCCTGCAGCCGGTCTCTTTGTGTACTAGCAAACCCAATAAAAGCCTGATACAAACCGCCATGAACCTGCCTGCCTGGCCATTACTATATAGCAATCTCACTCGGACCAGCAAGACGTGCGGCGCCTCTGAAAAAAAAATCAAAGGATACTCCCACAATGTTGGTATAGAGCAGGGGTCGGCAACCTGCAGCTCTGGAGCCGCATGTGGCCCTTTCATTCCTTTGCTGCAGCTCCGTCGCTCAAAATGTGCGTCACAACCGCCAATGGGTGGCACCCACTGGCACGATTCATTGAGCTTTTCGACCCCTCGATAGGCCAACCAAGGGTAAATCCAAGAAAAGAAAAGTTTCAGAAGAAAACGTTTAATTCAACGACAGATGCTAGTTTTGTGGCCACTCGGGAAATAAGTCCCGGGGAAAACTGCAATCTCATCATAAATATGAACCACTTGCCAAGCGTTTTCAATATTGATCACGTGACCATGGGGATGCTACAGCAGGTTGTCAAGCGTGAAAAACGGCCGCAAGTCACTTTTTTTTCAGTGTCGCTGCAATGTTGATACAAAGTGTTGTAAGTTGAGGAGTACCTCTGATCTGGCTATGAAAGCAAAGCCACTCATAGTTGGTATTGTTAGCTCAAAACTACAAGAGCCACTAAAACAAGGGTGTCAAACTCGAGGCCCACGGAGTGCTTAGATCTGGCTCGCAGGGCCACCCTGGAAACAGCGAAGGATTGGCACGCGGTGCCTCTGCCAGCAAAAACGGAGCTCAGGAGGCCCTCCATTTTTGCTGGCAGGGTGGCAGGAGGGCATCCATCCTGGCCGAAAACGGAGTTCATGAGCCCTTTTTTGCTGGCAGAGCGCTCCGGCCACCACAGGTGCCCCCAAAACAAGTGACTTCAAATACGCCACCGCCACCCCGAGGTCAAACACAATTCTGATGCGGCCCTTGATATCGAGTTTAACACTCCTGCACTAAAACCCCTTGAGATAGTAATAATTTTTTTTAAAAAGCGGGGGGGGGGGAGACGGGACGGGGACTGAGGCAACTTTCATTTGCTTCCTCAATCACTTTAATCAGGAAAACTAGCAAGCTGAGGGATTGGAAATGAGATTCAGAAAGACGCCCGTTGCTACTTAAAAACGTCGTGGAATAAGCAAGGTTGGCTTGGTAGGTCTGGGTTACAAATTTAACTTCTATCCATTGCAGCCCATTCCCCTAAATTTATAGGGTGACAACTTCCCAAATCTGCAGACCATTTTGAAGCCACAACACGGGAGAAGATTACCTGGAACATTGATACTTAAACAAAGGCACCAACCAGGTGCCACACAAATCCTTTCTTGGCTTACAAAGGACGCAGCCCAAAGCAGATTTTATCAGCAGGTCTTTTATTTGTAATATAGGCTTGAAGCATTCATTACAAGGTAGAAGGGAAGCACAGTTAACAGCTATTTTTTTTTATTTTTAGCAGTTCGGAAAGAAAACACTTCAATGGGGAAAAGAGAGCTCAACTCTCGGTACAAACTAGCAAACTAAACCACGAGAACTTACCATTAGAAACATTTTACATTGTGACGCTGCTGTTACAATAGGCAAAGAACACCAAAACAAAACAAAAAAGATAAAAAGGAAAAGAAACCTCAAAAAACAAACCAACAGAACTATCCAAAGTGGTTTTTGCCACATGTTAATATCGAATTTTGGCAATATCGTTATTATTTTTAACTGAGGTTTAATTCTGGTGTTGAAAAGGAGGAGGCTACACTCTCAAATACAGCTTCATCCAAAATGTTTTCTTAAAACGTGCTTTTTCGAAAAATATCCCGCGTGAGCTTCACTGAAAGCAACGGGGCTGGGCATGCCTGAGCCCTTAACAGAAACAGCTTTAAAAAAATAAAAAGAGGAAAAAAAGCTTAGAAAGATCAGCTTGTCAGCCTGCACCCTTTTTTTGTTTGTTTGTTTGTTCATTTGTCCATTTTTCTTCTCTATTTCAAGTGGTTAAGAAAAACAAAATCTTGGGAGCATCATTTGCAGAGAGCATCTGCTCCTTGTCAGGACAAGTGGGCTAGTTTGACAGCACTGCTTTTATTTTTATTTGTTTCCGAAGGAAGAAAAAAGCTTATTATTTTTTGGATCATGCCTTTTTTTTTTTTTTTTGAACTTTTCGCTTCCGACGCCATAATGAAAAAGTGTTAAGCAACCACAGCTGTGTAAATGTATATAGAACACAGTGACTATAAACAGGTTTACGATACATCTCACATCCAATGCAGTTATGTAATTAAAGCATAAGAAGTAGTAGTTTACGTAGGCAAGATGGCAGCCAATACGAATCTCCCGAGTGTCCATGGCGGAGGAGACTGTGGGCGTGCACGCACTCACAACCCAGCTCCTTCCACGATGAGTGGGGCGCATCGCTGCGACTGCAAACACACCCCTCTGAAGTCAAGAATTCTGCTAGCATCGCCCATGTAGAAATAAGGCAGACGGTATCCAGTTAGACTGCAGAATGCTTTTTAAAAAAAAACAAAAACAAAAAACCACGAAACTGAAAAAGACCAGGAGGGAGGAGTGGTGCCTGAGTTATGCACATTTCTACTGACCCCATGAAACAGAAAATACCACGGCAATGCTCATGTTAAGAAAAGAATACCTTATTTATAAATGTATCAACAATGCTCCCCCTTCCCCAATAATTGTGGGGAGGGGGAGAATAAAAAGGAAAGTAGTTGTGAATGTCCCTCCCGCTATAATAAATAAAACCTAAGAGCATTCCCGTCCCTTCCCAGTCCCCAAATTTTGTACCCAAACTGCCCCTTTGGATAAACAATCGCCCCCCCTCCCTTAAAAGTAACATTTGCAGTTTTACTGGAGTTCCCAGTTAGTTGCCCATCCGTCTATGAGTTGTTTTGTCAAAAGTCCTGGGGAAGGTTTTTCCATTTATTTGCCTACCCAGCCTGCTGGGCGCAGCCACTAAAAGGTATAAAGTTATAATTAAGAGCTCCCTGGTTTTCTTTTAAATTTTTTGCTCTTTATTATTATTATTATTATTATTTTAACAACGTAGACACCCTTTCTGCCTTCACAGTGCCTTGCTTTATGTCGTGTTCTGTTTACTTCTTTCAAGGAACAACAAGGTGAAGAGAGGAATGCAAAGTTTAAGCCTGTTGCCAAGATGGTACAAAACTGATAACGAGGGTTTTACGATGACCGGAAATGAAAGCATACAGAGGCAAGAAATCTTTTTAACACAGTCCTTTTCAACAGGGCCAACATAGGAAAAAATACCTAGCAGGCAGTACCCAAACGTCTTTGAAACACCTTACTTAAAATGAACACTGTGATTCATTATGGCTTATTTGGACGCATTTACAATGAAACTATCCCCCTAGGCTACATTTTTTTGTGCAAGAAATTAAGCCCCTCCCTTCCTAATCCCTAAAAATTAACCAAATACAGCCGTTCTCTCTTTTCTGTCTTCCCATTATATATTGCTTTTAATCAGCTTCCGTTCCCTGCTTTTGGGGCAGGAGAAAACGGCTCAGCTGTATTTCAGTGAAGGAGTTGTGTTCTTGCTAGGAACTTTGTACAGGGAAACGAACACCGATCTGAGACTCCCACTATGACAGACAAGGTGCTCAATAAAACCATCCAAGAAGGAGAACTGCGTTATCACCGGACTCCTCCTCCCAGCCCTTGCTAAAATTTTAACTACTTAAACATTTCTTATAACTGTCCTTTTTGTGAATGAATACACTTTACAAAGAGTTATTAAAAGGTTAAATGGGATTTTGGCACCTTTGGGGGGTGGGGGAGGGGGGAAAAAAAGGAGGAACTGAGAATTTGAAAATGTGCAGAGGAAAATATAATCAGCCAGCTTTAGGAAGAAAATCATCATCATCATCAAATAGTCAAGGAAGATGTTCCTTTTAAGAATTTCACTTGGCCAATTCTAACCTCCCCTCCCCGTTTTAGAGACCGCTGCCAGCTGTCTCTACTAGAAAAAAAAATCTTGATTGTACAATAATGGACCAAGACACAAAAGATGATATCATCAGGTAGGTCGGTCTCTCTTTTTCAACTCAACTTGAGCAGTGATTCAGCATCTAGGAAATACGGGGTGCCGAGCGATCGTTCGTGGTGGTCTTCCTCAGCTTAACGCCCCTGCGGATGGCATTCAGCATGTCTTCGCCCTGCGGGGCCTCCGCTGGGTTCTGCCCACCTGTATGGAGCACAGTGGGCTGGCACGGAGGAGCAGTGATGCCGACGTCTTCTCTTTCGTTCTCCTCTCTCTCGTTTTCAGCCGCCGCCGGCCTCTGATCCTCTGTGCTGCTCGGCTTCTGACTGACGACGGGGGGAAGGCTGGCGGGTGCTTGCCCACTCCACGAGGAGGTACACATAGTGGGGGTGCTGCCCCCTCCAGCCTCGGGACTTTGCTCGGAGCTTTCTTCTGCCCCGCTCGGGAAACCAGGAAGCCCCACCGGCACGTCTGGCACAGACGGAGTCTTAACGGGAATCACGGGGGTCTTAATGGGAATCGGTCCCGCGCCAATAGTCCCGCGCCTTACCGCTGGTTTGGTGGAAGGCGTCCGTCGGATGGTGGCCACACCCGGTGTGACGATCACAGGGCCAAGGGTGGTTGGGAGGCCCGCAGTGGAAGCCGGACGCTTGGCATGGAACATGCGACGGAAGGACTGGCTGATGTCGCTGTTCCTCGGAATAGTTGAAGACTTGTCGAATTCTTGCTGCTCGGTGTCTTGATCACCACTCACAGAAAAGTAGTCGTAATCTGAAACTAGGAAGTCAAAAAAGGGGGAGTCAGAACAGCAAATCTTCAGGAGTAACTTGGCAATCTCCAGTGAATGTTTTAAATCTACGCTTCCCTTTTTTTCTTGGATACGATGTTTTACTAAAACTTTTTAAAAGGAAGATTAAAAACTGATATACAGTAAGAAGGATCAAAGGAAAAGAAATCAAAGAGAAAGATTAAAAGTGCAAGAAAGGAATAAACGAAAACATAATAAAGTAGATAAGAACTTCTGATTTTCTCTACAGTAGTTGGAATTATACATTTATCTCTTAAAGTTACAGGGGGATTCTTCTTCTTTCTATAATCTATTCTGTCCATTCCACAAAACCCTAAATTTATTTTTTCCTGTTTTACACACACACAAAAATCCATATAGGGATCTTATGGGTTTCTAGTCAGCAATAAATATAGATATTGTCTTTTCTCTAATCAAAGAGGTCAATTTGGCTATCTCAACAAGTTCCATCATCATCAACCATTCTTCCATTGTGGATAATGCTGGATCTTTCCATCTTTGTGTATATAATAACCTCACTACAGTGATCATTTATAAAAACAAAGTTCCATTACATTTTCCCCCCAACACATTTGTCTATCAAACCCAAACAAAAAACAACAACTCTAGCCTCAATGATATATTAATCGTTAAAGGCCTCTGAATCCGTGTGTATGCATTTGAATGCAAAATTTTCTAGCTTGTACATATCCACCAACTAAAATGAAACGTTCCTTCAATCTCCAGACAGTCCTCAATATGACCTTCCTTTCAGCAGTCAGCTTTTTCACTCACTCCTGAAAGACAGGAAGGAGCCAAAATCCAAGCAGAGAGGCAGCATAATAGGGAATGTGGGCTGCTTCGAATGGGCGGGGAAGAGAAAGCATGAACTGGCTCTCTTGCTCGGGCTAAAAATCCTGCTGGGAATCCCAGCAGGGAGAATTTTCAGCTCTTAAGCAGGGGTGGGATTCTACCGGTTCTGTCCACCTCTGCAGAACCGGTTGCTCTGAAAAGCAGCAAACAGAGCATCCATAGAACCGGTTCTATGCCTGCTGCTGTTTTGGCCCACCCGCCTGCCCGGGCTCTTACCTGACCTTTATTTTTCTGCTTTTTCAACCGCAGCTGCTTTGTGCGACACAGCTGTGGTTGAAAAAGCAGGAAAAAAGGGCTTTTCCAACTGCTGTGCACGCAGCACTGCTCAGCTGTCTGGGCAGCTCAGGAGGTCATAAATTGCACTCGCATGACACAGAGCAACAGAACCGGTAGTTATACCAGTTGGATCCCATCCCTGCTCTTAAGTGGTTGCCTCTCCCACCCCTGAGGGTCCCTGCATTCTTTACCTGGCACTCTCTTTGCCTAACCATCGGTGAGACTGTGCCAGGATCGCAGTCGTTGAGGCAAGCAGTCGTGTGCATGCTTTGCGTGACAATTGTTTTTGCTCAAATACAAACCAAGCAAGATCATCGATCTCCACTAAATACAGGCAGTCCTCGACTTACAACAGTTCATTTAACCACCATTCAAAGTTACAGGAGCTCTGAAAAGAGGGACTTACGACCATTTTTCGCAGTTATAAACTTTGCAGCATCTCCATGGCCACGTGAACAAAATTCAGACGCTTGGCAACTGGTTCATATTTATGACAATCAGTGTCCTAGGGCCGTGATGGTGAACCTATGGCACGCAGAACCATTTCTGCCAGCATGTGCCCTGTCGCCCAGAACAGATCCACTGGGCATGCGCGTGCCCCCGCCAGCCGGCTGATTGATGGTTATCTGCCACACATTTGTGGGGGGAGATGCCCTCGCAGGAGATGCATGCACATGCGGCGGGACACGGGGGTCATACGCGCATGCGCAGAGGTGCGCAGTGCGGGGGAGTCATGCACACATGCGCAGGGGGTGGGCGGGGTCACGCACACAGGCAGAGGTGGGGGGTCGCGCACACATGCGCAGAGCACTGGGAGGTCACACGGGCATGTGCAGTGGGTGAGGGAGAGTCCTGCGCTCATTGCATTATGGATGCAGGCACGCGCATGTACTTCTGGAACACGATGACTAAAAGGTGAGCCATCACTGTCCTAGGGTGACGTGATTCCCCCTTTAAGACTTTCTTACAGGCAAAAGTCAATGGGGAAGCAGGATTCACTTAACCACCAAGTGACTCACTTAACAGTTGTGACAAGGAAGATTGTAAAATGGGGCAAAACTCATTTAAACAAATATTTCACTTAGCAAGAGAAATTTTGGGCTCAATTTTTGAGGACTACCTGTATACGGGAAGCCAGCCCTCAATCTGCCACCAGAATTGAGTCCAAAATTTATGTTTGCTAAGTGATAAATTTGTTAAGTGAGTTTTGCCCCATTTTATGATGGTTCTTGCCACATTTGTTAAGTGAATCATTGCAGTAGTCAAATTAGTCACAACGGGGAACCTGGTTTTCCCCATTGACTTCGCTTGTCAGAAGGTCGCAAGAGGTGATCACATGACCCCAGGGACACTGTAGCCGTCATACATTGTGAATCAGTTGTCAAGCATCCGAATGTAAATCACGTGGCTGTGGGGATACTGCAATGGTCGTAAGTGTGAAACGCGGTCATACATCAACTTTTTTCAGTGCCATTGTAACTTTGTTCTGAGTTGAGGACTACCTGCAGTTCTGCTCTTCTTGTGGTTTGCCCTCAAAGGACTGACACAAGTGGTTCTTGATTGTTAGGTATTTTTTTGCGGATGGCCAACACTTCACTTTTCCCCTTTCCAGGAACCACTTTGCATAATTGAGGAAGGGTGTAGCAATCTACAGGCACCTTGACGGGTGAGGGACCTGGGTTTAGGGAAAGCCAAGCAGCATATGGCAAAACCAAAACCTGAGACAGAAAGGCTCCTGGCTCCTTACCTTGTGAGGGAATTGTGTCTTCAGAACAGCAAGGTGTGGTTGTCTGAGTGCTGTAGCCGCTGGAGCACTGCAAGGAATCCCTGCTGCTCCTCTGAATGTCCAGCTGCAGCCCTCGGGTAAGAGCGAGAGCCAGCTCCTCACAGGCTTCCATCTCCTCTCCTGGCTAGCAACACAAGGAAGGTCCCTCATTAGATTAGGCCAGGGGTCTTGGCAACTTGGCAACTTGAAAGACTTGTGGACTTCAGCTCCCAGCATTCCCCAGCCAGCCATGGAAGCTTCAGCACCAGGGGTGGGATGCAAATATTTTTACTACCGGTTCTGTGAGTGGGGCTAGGTGGGAGTGGCTTCTTCTGTCTTTTTTTTGTGTGCAGCAAACACCCCCCCCACACACACACACTCGTTTTTTTTGCCTCCCGGGAGGGGGGTGTTTTTGCTCCCAGGAGGGAGCACCACCAACCCGCGCACCCCTTTTTGCCTCCTGGGCCTCAGGGAAGCCTCCTGGGTGAAGCAGTAAGACAGCGAGGGGAATCCCGGAACAGCTGATCGTTGGAACAACTGATCGTCAGGAGGACAAAAAATATAAATACCGGTTCCGCTGAGGCCTAGGCAAAAAAACCTGCAGTGCGTGTGTGTGTGGAGGGGGGGGCACAAAAAAAGAGAGAAGTTACACCCACCTAGTATAGCAAAGTCTGGTTGTCTCTTTTCAGCTGGACTTTGATTCACAATACGAATAGGTTGGATTTAAGCACACCCCATAACTCGACACCAGCCCCCTCCATCTGTCTTGGGAATATACTTTCTGTCATCCCAAGCTGTTTCAGCTAATCTGGCTTGTCGCAAAAGCATCCTGTCATTATGCTTGAAGGATACCTGGTTAGGGAAGGCCCCACAATTGGGTTAATATAATGGGCTAAAGCCATGGTTTGTTTTAACTTCGGTCATAGAGCAAAGCAGTGTCCTGATTTGCAGAAAACAACAAGCCAGAACACAAGTATAAAATTTGTAGCGGCCAAGTCCACATCTTTCACCGAGTCAAACAATCACAACAAACCACATTACGGTTTAAAAGGATATATGAATTGAGCTCAATGGGGAAAGATGTGAATAACTGAAGACCTATCAATTCAGTAGGTCCATACTAACTATTAATGATCCGACTGTAATTTGATAAATTATGCATTGGTATCTTTTGCGGATTGGGTCATCCAATTTTACATAAAATCCAATACGGCACAGGGTGATCTTAACAAATGAATGTAGAAGCGAGAGATCAATAAGCATAAAGCTACCATATCTCGGTAGCAAAAAATCAGGGCACCTGCAAGAACTTCTCGATTGGCAATTTAAAGATGTATGTTTAACTCCCAGAATTCTCTGGCTATCACGGCTGGCTGAGGAAATCTGGGAGTTGAAGTCCACACATTTTCAAGTTGCAATGTTGACAATCGCAGAGCTAGAGGACTGCAAAGAGTTTTGCCGCCATTCAAAAGTTTACTCAGATTTTTACAGTCCAAATAAGTCCTTTTGATTGCCATTCTTCTATTATGGTCCAAAGTACTACATGTTATTTCCATGTAACTTGATCTGCTTTTGAAATGACTTGTTTTGCTTATCAGCAGAACTGGTATGTGAGAAAGCCTGTAAATTGCATAAAAAATCTTCCACGAATGGATTAGGGTGATTTAGGCTAGCATGCTGTACAATCGTATTTGAACAATTGTATTTGTTTGATGGCACAGTGGTTAAGAGTGCTGTACTGCAGGCCACTTCTGCTGACTCCCGGCTGCCTGCAATTTGGCAGTTCAAATCCCACCAGGCTCAAGGTTGACTCAGCCTTCCATCCTTTTGAGGTGGGTAAAATGAGGACCCAGATTGTTGGGGGCAAGATGCTGACTCTGTAAAACCGCTTGGAGAGGGCTGTAAAACACTATAAAGCGGTATATAAGTCTAAGTGCTTATTGCTTATTGTTTATTCCCTAAAGCAGGGATATCCAACCGTGGCAACTTTTAAGACTTGTGGACTTTAACTCCCAGAATTCCCCAATCAATATGGACACCCCTGCAAGTTAAACAGACTTAGCATCATGTGTGAACTAAACTTCTATTTTCTCACTTTAAAAAAAAAAAACACATCCAGGATTGTCTGTATCTATGTAACCAGACAATCAACCAACTCTTGGCCTCTCAAACTGTTGGATTTTGAAAGATTGCAGGCCAAAAGCCAAACAAAGCCACATCAGGCCTTAGCCGGGATGTGAACCTAGATGGCCCCACACACTGTGCTGAGCTGTGATGATTTTAACCATGGTTTGCTTGCCCTGGCTGGCAGATCCCATCAAGCTAAAAGCCAGGGGAGGTTTTAGTAGCAAGGGGTGTGCCTTGAACCTTTTTAATAGGAATACATCAGCTCATATGAGTTATGCAGAGTTTCACACCTTTGGGGCAGCTGATACAGTCATGTTCCGGGCCCTCTGGGGGTCTTCTGTGGGCAGAGAAGGACCACTCTGAGCCCCGCCGGGAGAGTCTGCTTCTCGTTTTTCCTTGCGACGTTGCAAAGTGTTTACCATGGGCTGGTCGTAAGGACCAGGCTTAGCCCAATCCTAGGGAAGAAAACCTCTTATTAGTCAAAGCTTATACAGGCTTCTGTCTCTTTCCCCTGTGTAAGATGCAAGCAGCAGACCCCACAACAACCTTCTCACAAAAGAACACCCAATACAATTCAGGTAAGGGAGCCCCTTTCCCGAGACTCAGTGACCAGTTTTAAACGCGGGCGAGATAGAATTACATTTGCAAAATTCTCAAGGGTTAGGCTTAGGTATTTCACCTGTACGGGTAGTCCTCGACTTACGCCCCCAGTTCAGCTCAGCGTTTCTGTCGCTAAGCGAGATCGTTTTGCCCCGTTTTCATGGCTTTTCTTGACACGGTCCTTATTTTTTTTATTTATTTTTTAGTTAGTAACGATTGTTAAAGGAATCTGGCTCCCCCACTGACTTTTGCTTGTCAGGAAGTCCACAAAAAGGTGATCATGTGACTCCCCCTGGACGCTGCAACCGTCGTTAATATGAACTGCTTGCCAAACATTTTAATCCCTGAATTTTAATCCTGCGGTTACAGGGACGCTGCAACAGTCATACGTGTGAAAAGTGGTCGTAAGTCCCCCCTTTCCCCCCCCCCAATGCCCTTGTAACTCTGAATGGTCACTAAATGAACTGTTGTAAGTCGAGGACTATCCATACTATAGAAACAGCAGTGGAAGGGAAATGGGCCTGTTACGATGATCCCAATGACATCACCCTCCATCACCACTGGCCATGCAAGATTGGGCGAACGTGCGATAGTCTTCCATAACATGTCGCCTGAAATACGTTTAGGAGACTAAAAACTAATCTCAAGACAAGTAGACCTTGTCTTAGTTTGCTCTATTCCCTTATTCTTCAGGTCTGGATTCTGAGGTGTTTCAAATAGAAACTGATATGTCCGTGATGGTGAACCTATGGCATGTGTGCCACAAGTGGCATGCATGTGTGCCATTTGTGCCGGGACGAGAGCCGCAGGCACACGTTACCTCACTGCGCATGTGTGTGCCTCACAGCTGATTTTCGGCTGGTTTGAGGCCTTTTTCGGCCTCCCAGAGGCTTGAAAAAAGCCTCACCAGGCCAAATAGGCCCGTTTCGTCACTTCCTGTAACACCGGAAGTGACAAAACGGGTCTATTCGTCCTGCAGAGGCTTTTTTTAAGCCTCTGGGAGGCCGAGAAAGGCCTCAAACCAGCTGTGAGATGCAGTGCAGGTAAGGGGAGGCAGTGGGGGGAGGGGCATGGGGGATTGCGTGCGCATGTGCAGGGGGAATGGGGGGGCGCACATTGCCTTCTGCGTGTTGGCACGTGAGCGTGCTAGCGCGCGCACAAGTTTTAACCCAAAAAGGTTAGCCACCACTGTGCTATGTAATATAACAGAGAATTTACTCTAATCCCACTCCCCTTCTAGCACTGATGATGTTATCTAGTTGGGTAATGAAACGTCTGCAAGAAAACAACCAAGCTCAGAGAGCACTAAGGACCCCTTATGTCAACCCTGAGCTATAAATATTCTCTTCCATTAGAATAATGTCTTTATCAGGCAGTGTTACGAGTAAAATATTTTGGACCACTAAAACATGGAATGTGTTGGGGGATCTCTGCTAAATAGCTATCTCTGACCTATTAATACAAGTTTGCCATTGACAAGTATCTGGTTAATATGCTAAGGGGAAAGCAAGGGAAGAAAATGCTGACAAGAAATTACTCATTCCTGGGGCAAATATCTCCTTTGGTTTGGCCATCAATTAGCAAAAATCAGAGTCCCTGAACCAAACCTACAACTACCTTGAAACCTGCAAACATCCAAGACAAATTAAACTGCGTATAAATAACTGGTGTATAGCAGGGGTGTCAGACTTGTGGCCCGCGGGCCAGATGCATCACGCACTGGCCCTGCCCACCCTCGTTTTAGCGAAGGGGGGGAAGTCGCTATAAATCACGTGACCATGTGACAGTGCGAGTTTGACACCCTCTGGGGTGTAGGAAGCTTTTTAAAACCTTATTGTCAGTGAATATTTACACTATAGGTTGGTGGAGGGATTTTAAAATTCACAAGTGAATTTCACGTTGTGAATCTCTGATGGCCACTCCCAGGGCAGGTTTGAACCTGGAGGCAAATGTCCACATTTAAAACTGCCTTTTTTGAGAGGAGTGCCTTCATGTAAAAACTGCTTTCCTCTTTAAAATAAACAGAATAATGGAAGAGTCAAGACAGGATCGTGGAGTCAAGACAGGATCGTTGATCCAATCTCTTCTTAGAAAACTTCCAGTGTTGGAGCATCCACAACTTCTGGAGGCAAGTTGTTCCACGGGTTAATTGTTCTCATTGTCAGGAAATGTCTCCTTAGTTCTAGGTTGCTTCTCTCCTTAATTAATATGCAACCATTGCTTCTTGTCTTGCCTTCAGGTGCTCTGGAGCAGTGGTCTCCAACCTTGGCAACTTTTAAAACTTGTGGACTTCAACCCTCAGAATTCTGGGAGTTGAAGTCCACAAGTCTTAAAAGTTGCCAAGATTGGAGACCCCTGCTCTGGAGTGTACGCTGGCCCCCTCTTCTTTGTGGGAGCCCTTCAAATATTGTAACATTGCTATCATGTCACCCATAAGCCTTCTTTTCATTAAACTAGTAACATACCCATTTCCTGCAACCATTGGTTTCTAGCTCTCTGTTTCTTCACATTTCAGAGAAAGGGAAACATCTATGCATGCATCTATTGTTAACTATCACAACAACTGCTTTGGGATCACAACCGGTTCCAGACTCCTGGGCCAGGTGGAGAAGGATATTATACCCAAAGCATAGGTTCTTTATGCAGCTGTCTTTCCAAACTTCAGTTTTCTCCAGATGTGTCCAAATGCGTGAAATGTTAGGTCGAAAGTGTCTCAGCCTGGAATTATCTCATTTTGACCTTATCAAGTTATGTGACTTCAAAAGAAGTTACTCCAATAGATTTTGGAGTCAGGCAAGTCCATTCCAGACTCAGAAGGTTTTGACCTCAAAAGGAATTTGCGATCTTTTAGTGGGGACTACATTTCCCAGAATTCCTAAGCAACCTGGAAGCTAGAGTCCCAATATTCCCAGAAAATGTTGCTCCAGGGTCTCCCTGGCAGTTCCCTCTGTATTTCCTACGCCCAAGAATCATGTTGGTTTTCCTCATGATTTCTCAAAGGACTTAAGCAGAGGTCCCCAAACTTGGCCACTTTAGGACTTGTGGACTTCAACTCCCAGCACTGAAGGGAGTTGAAGTCCACAAGACTTAAAGTGGCCAAGTTTGGGGACCTCTGCTTATGTCCAGATACCAACTCTATTGCAAAAGTAACTAAAACGGCCGGTTTCTCGTGATATCTGAGACCAGCAAGAAGATGTTCTGAATGTGATCCCATGAAGAGTGAGATTTGTCAATAAAAAACTCTGCACCCACAGTAATAATCTAAAAGTCTCCAGGAATGAAATCATGAACAAGTTTTCAGCAGGCCTTATAAAGGATTTTACTAGTGGGATCACTGCTGAAAGAAAAGAACACAGATTGTGCTTTATACTATCCGTAACCCACATAGGCAGTTAAGGCACCAGGCCAGAAACTGGGAGACTGAGAGTTCTAGTCCTGCCTTAGACATGAAAGCCAGTTGGGTGATCATGTGCCAGTCATTCTTTCTCAGCCCAATCTACCTCAGGATTGTTGTTGTGGGGAACTCTTGAGTTGTTTGTAAAATTAACAAAGGTAGGATACAAAATAAATACACGAGGAATTAAATTATATATATTTCCCATCTGCAAATACCAATTGCTACTTCATACACAATCTAAAAAGTCGAAGAGTTGCATAGATTACAAATCTGGGAGCATGTTCATCCAAACCAGGGGCCTCCAAACTTGGTAACATTAAGACTTTGAACTTCAATTCCCAGAATTCTCCAATCCTATGCCGGCTGGGGAATTCTGGGAGTTGAAGTCCACAAGCCTTAATGTTGTCAAGTGGAAACCCCTGATCCCCCCCACCCAAACACACACACACACACACACACATATATTTTAAAAAATTGATTATTGGTAAAGCAGGATAGAGGAGAAGAATTCCACCACCAGATCAAGAACTCAGAAAGGGAGCTGAGGGGAGAGGAAAAGGCCCGCCAAGAATTAAGTTAAGAGTTGAGAAGCAATTTCTTGCAAGGGGTGAGGGATGACAAGGAGAGACTCTAACGAAAAGAAACACAAACCTTCCAACTAGGAATCTGAGGTGATGGTAACATGCCTGGCCCAATGGTGTAATAATGAACGTAGTCTGGAAGGAGGGTGGAGGAGGTGGCCCGGGTCCATGCGTGAGAGACAGACGGAACATGAGGGAAAGAACCCACACCAACTGGGGCTAAAGATGAGCCACTGGGTAAACTACAGTGATAATACCCGTTAGACAACTGGAAACAAACAAAAAGAACAATAAATAAAAAGGGATAAAAAGGAGAGAAATTAATATAAATAGGTCCAAATATGGGGGAAGTACAAAGTGAAAACAGGCATGCATCGCTGGGAGAAAGGAAGGGGAATGCTCCCAATGGGTTCTAGTTCCCTTTGGCTGGTCTACACCCCTAGCCCAATGCTTGCTCATGCTTTGTTAATGACACTCAACTACGCAGCCATGTTCTGGAAAAGAAAACCGGAACAAGAACAAACAAAAATCAATTTTCGGGAGCTGAATCGTTGGACAAAGCTATGCCCCAGAGGCACAAGTGCTTCTTCATAGGTTGGTCGCGAGGAGACACTTCGCAGCAAAAGGCTGAGAGAACCTCCTCAAGAGCTTCATTCCACAAGAAGTTGAAAGAACTTCTGTGGTCAAATTCTTCCTGGGCCTGATAGCTCAGGATATTCACATATATCATTTCTTGCGGTAGCTCAGCTTCAGAAAATGACTCGTTTGCAGACAAAACAAAACAAGAAACAAAGAAACGACGATGGGAGGAATGGAAGAGGAAATTGCTCATTGGAATGGATCCCACCAGTCCCTCCCTCCCTCTGACCTCTAGGATGCTGGGCAGATATATGTACACCTGCCAAAAGGATCTGGCTTTTCCAGGGGAATTTGGAAAAATGGACAATGGAATTTATATTCGGAGATGGAGAAAGTCTATTCTCTGGTCTCTCTCTTTAGAAAAGATAGACTTTTCTTACTGTTTTATTTCTCAAAGGTGGATTTGCGGGACAGAAAGCTGCTCACAACAACAGCCCTAACAGATGTCTTTTCAAGTGCCCTGGAAAAATGTCTCCCCAGCCTTAACTGTGTTCGCTTCAGGACATGGCTGGCACTACCGGTAGTCCTCAACGTATGACCACAATGAGCCCAAAATTTATATGTTGTGAAGCCAGAAATTTGTTCAGTGAGTTTTGTCCCATTTTGTGATTTTTCTTGCCACATTCGTTAAAGTGAATCACTGCGGCTGTTAAATTAGTAACATGGTTGTTAAGTGAATCTCGGCTTGTCAGAAGGTCGTGAAAGGGGATCATCACATGATGCAGGGGCATGGCAACCGTCATAAATGTGAGTCGGTTGTCAAGCATATGAATGTATATCATGTGACTCTGGGGATGCTACAATGGACATAAGTGTGGAAAATGGTCGGCAGTCACTTTATTTCAGTGCTGTTGTAACTTTGGTCACTAAGTGGACTGTAATAAGTCAAGGACTACCTGTACTGGAGGCATCTGCGGAGCTCCTTAACTATGTCTGAACTGGGGGCAACTTCTCTGGCAAAGCTTAATTAATTTTGTTAGGAATCTGTCCACCAATTAGTTGGGTTGGCAATATATAAACCAACAATGTATGTTTGTAGCTTTAAGACAAAATCACTGTATTGATTTATACTATATTCCGATTGGTTGATTATATTACAAATCACCATAAGAGGGAGCTAGAGATCATAGCTTGCTCTCTCTGACATTCTGTCTCTCTGACATTCTGTTGCTATCTAAGGTTCTCTGTTGTATTTATGCTGTGCTTATACTTTGATATTTTGGTTTACTGTAAATGACAAAGGCAACCAGTAAGAAGACTTTGTAATTGGATATTCTTTGGACTGTTAAACATATATGACCTGGACCGTTTATTGGACTGTGCTATTTCTTAAACTTTAACTCAATTTAGTGTATCTGTGTGTGGCTGGATAATTATTCATAACTACTCTCATAAATGTTTCCATGTGCATATCCTTGTTACTCAAGGGTTATTCTGTACATATCATAACAGTTTTCCTCATAGCTTTACTCATGAGTCCCCTCACTTCAACTCTGTAGCTTCTTATTGTTTGCAGTTGTATATATATATGTACTGTATATTTCTCCTGAATATTTCAGAGCCTGGAAAAACCGAATCACGAGTCTTCGAGATTTAAGTCTTTTTCACCTTTTCTGTGGAGGCCCAAGCCGCCATGGTTGAGCCTGAACTGACAGAGGTCGGGGAGCTGCACTCACTCACTGATTGGCAGGTTTCAGAAGCTTCAGAAGAGGCCGAGCTGGACGAATTCTGCTTGGGGGTTCAAAAAAAAAAAAAAAAAGAAGCCAAAAAGGCACCACGAAGAAGAAGAAAAGGGAAGAAAGACAAGCCAATGAAACAAAAAACAAAGAAAGCAAAGGACAATTACATACAGAAGAAGAAGAAAAGCAGCGTGTTAGGCGTTAAACGGCAGGGGGAAAATATACAAGCATTAAACATGATTATAAGTTTTTGAAGAGTGCAGAGGGACCAAAGCAATGGGTTCTACATGGTAGGTTCTTCGCAGCAGAGCCGATCAACTTAATGACCTCCCAAAAAGCATGGTGGACAAGTTAAGTGCCCTGGCTGCAGATTTGGGACTCGCCATCTTGTTGCAATTGGAAGGGCATCAACGTTGGGGAAAGTGCCAAATAATGTCATGAAATCATAAACAAAACAAGATAGGAGTATCTCAACCCTGCCTTCCTGCTGAAGGACCAAGAAGGATGCTTCCTTCCTTCCACGGACCAATCTTTTACTGGTGAGACTCCCTGTTTTTGAACCTTCAACAGCACACCTTTTTCTAGACCACAGCATGGTTCCTGTCACCACGGAAGTGAGCAAGGAAGAGGCCCAAGCCAGATACACCCATGGAACAAGGTTCAAGCAACTCTTTGGCACTAAGATGGCATAATTGCAGAGTGTGTATCTGCTGCTCCAGATACCAGGTGGGCATCATTTATTCCAAGGATACCATTTAGGATAGTCTGGCCTGGCAGGGGCTGAGCATGTACAGCTGGTAAACACAGCTCTGACCAGGCTGAAGGTTGCCTTTAGCTTTGAATGTCTATGCTGGGCAGAATCATAACAAGGAAGCAGGACAAGTCAAGACTAACCCTACATCAATTTACCTGATAATGGCTATTCTTGAAAGAGACTGAGGGGCGAAGTACCAGGGTAGTATAAGAGAAACCTATTCAATCAACATTTCTATTTCTGTAAAATCTTACTCTTCACTCAGAGCACTTCTTAAAGTCTGACCAGGAGTACACCAGATTACTCTACAAATGACACTTTGAAGGATGCACCCAACACATGATCAAGCCATCTCTCAATAAAATTTTCTTCACGTTTTCAGTTCAATTCCTATTGGTCACATGCAACTTCCATATTGGTGTGTTGTTTTTTTTTGTAATTATATAGAAGGAGGTTGCAAATTGTCTTGGATTTTTTTTTCTTTTTCTTTTGAAACTTACTAATCTAGCCTTCAACATTTGGACTTCCTAACGGCTTCCCATTCCTGTCAGGGTTAGGGAAGGTACCTTATATATTCCTTCCCATTTTGAAACATGAGCAGATGAACCTGAGAATTCTAGGATATAAAAAACCTGTAGCTAAAGTCCTGGCAAGTAGCTACAGCTCAGCTCATGGACTGTCTTGTTTATTACAGACAGAACAAATCATGGAATCCTACTTATGCTTATTTATTTCTATTTCTAGGAGGGAGGGAGGGAGGGAAGAGGAAGGAAGGAAGGAAGGAAGGAAGGAAGGAAGGAAGGAAGGAAGG